AAAGATTCATTTCCACCCTGTCGTCGTCGTTGTGTCGATCGAAGGTACGGAGCACGGCGTGGTTACACGGCCGCTTTCGCCCGACGCGCAGATGGGACGCGTGAAACGCATGCGCCCGCGCTATCGCGTGTATCGCGCGAGACAAGCTCGTCCCTCTGTCTCCGTTCCGCGAGCGCGTACGCGTGGGCCGACCGCGACGGAGGAACGAGCGACGCAACCCGCGGAAGAATAGTGTCGATCGTGTGTTCCTACTTGACGGTTACGTTTCTCTTGTCGTTCGTTTTCGCCGTGTTTACATCTAACGACGACTCAAGTGTTGTTCATGAAAATTAGCCCAAAGCTTAATCGATACATATCAACGATCGAAGTGCTCTCGAGATTCGAGTCTCTCTCTCACCGGTTGTGACATTGTGCAATGAGAATTCGTGACGATTGATCATTATTGTGGATTCACTTGGTTTCTTGAGAAGGGAGGTTATGTATGCTAGGTGGAACAACAAAGAGAGGATAGATATTCTGGAAGTTGGACAATTTTCCTGAGTTGAATCGGTAAAGTAGATTGATTAGTAAATCGATGTGTCGTAAGGTCTCGAATTGGACGGTTTTGAGAGAGAGAGACAGAGGGAGAGAGAGAGAGAGAGAGAGAGAGAGTGTGTGTGTGTGTGTGAAGTGGATACGTGCAGTTTGGACGAGTTGAAATTGGTTGCATTGAATTGAGTCAGGCGTTTCTGTTGAATGAGTCTGCGGTAGGGATTCGGTGAATAATTGGATAGCTACTGTGTATAGTATAAGTTCTTGTTTTTATTATTAAGGTTGCGAGGATAGAAAAAATTGGATCCTATTTCTGTAGTGATTTATATACATATGGTTGCAATGCGTTCCGAGTATTGGAAACGCGACTCAATAGCGAAAAAGGCAAAAAGAACATTTTATCAAGTTCGCGCTCGAGCTACGTAGAATTGTGAACACAATTGGATGGTCGTTTCCCCATATATTTGCACGGGAAGAGGGAACAAGCAGGTAGCCCCGCACATAAAGAGAAAGAAATAACAGAAACGGGGAGTAGTATACATTCTTCTGGTTTATTACACATCGAACAGAGGTATATTTATTCGATGTCAATTCCAGGAAATAAAACTGGCTGTAGTTTCCGCGGATAGGTAAATCGACGAGGGAGAGAGAAACAGTTCTCTACGTCATATATATAACCTTCCCCTGGTAGCAACAATTCAGGCTGAAAATTGTTTCTACCTCCCTCGAAACGATCACGTGTTGGTTCACGTGAAATTATCGACAGCTAAAGACATTCTTTTCTGTTCAAAGCTTCTGAGATAATTCAGAGAAGCACTTTGCTCCGTTGTGGTCTACCAGTGAACGTAGAAGGGAAATTTGGTGAGTCAATTTTGCTCACGTCACAGAAATCGCTTTAAAGTCGTTTAAAAACCGAATGAAAATCCACGAATACGTTCTCGGTCTTTCTTTCTTTCTTTTTTTTCTCGTGCAAAAGAACACGTGCTGCTCTCCCGGTCTGGTGTGTTGCATGCACGCGCCAGATAGATACGTTTGTACTCTCCGCGTTCACTCGTGCGTGGCCAGGCCGCGTGGGTGGACGACGATACGTTTTCAAACATTTTCGTTCGTGAAAGTTCGTGTTGCGACACACCGCTGAAAAAATAATTCGAGTGTTCGGTGAATCGAGAAAACGAGTCATCCTTTAACTGCGCAGTTCTTGTCGAGGAGTGAAGTAGCCCGTTGGACCGTCTTGTCTCATATTTGCCTGTCACAGAAAGGGTAAAATGCTTTTGTTATTGTAATTATCATTATTACTGGTAATATTGTCTCGTATAATCTTGAGATTGTTGCTGACATTTGTTACACTTTTGTGAGTTTTTTTCTTTACAGTGTAATTCAATGTTGTTGAAAGTGAATATTTAATCACTGTGTTCATTGTTCAACTTCTTATTCATTCTTACAAAAATCTAGTGCAATGGATTATTTTGTCGCGTCAGATGCTAATAATGTTTACATGAATAGTTCTAACAAGAGAGATGGTGAATCACTTCGATACAGTTATTAAAGGTTAGTTTTCTCCGCAGTTTTCCAACGCGATCTATTAAACGACGGATCAAGTGTCTGATTCCCACGAGGAACGTAATTTTTCTCGGCATAAAATATGTCTAAACAAAATATAACTGTAACGTTACCAGAGTTGTTAGTCATGAACTAACAAGACACAAATATTCAAATCGATTATATTCATGGTAATGATATAGACTTTTTGAGGTTAAGAAGAAGCACGATAGTATTTAATCGTACTTAAATTATCACCGATTAATTGGTTACCAATATCTAGTAACGCGAAAAAGATTAACTATGTTTTAAAGAGTCGCTAAATTACTGTTCATTCCTCGTATTATTGAGCATAATTTTCTTGATCACTGCATACGATGCACGGTGGCGCGATAATCGACTTCCTGCGCACGAGTAAACGCACGAAGCGCGAGGGGTGTCTCGACCGGTCGAGTTTATCTCCGAAGACAGTAATGATCGAGTCTGCCAATGGTAGCGGGTCGATGATTTATCCTTTAAGCCTTGGATCTACGTGTCGTTGTTTTTCATTCCTCGAACAGTCCGTTCAAAGAGCATCAATGCATTGTTTTCTCTCGGTTCACTGAAGATTGATAAAGCTTACGAAAGACGCGTGCATTTATACGTGTATACACGAGCGAGGGTGCGTGCGCATCTGCAAGCTACGATAACCGAGGAGCATTCACTACCGGAGCATTTTCTACTGATCTTATCTTACGGACAACGACGGTTTGCAAATCGTTATCACTAAAATTATCACCGGGGGACGTTTCAATTACAAGGGAGTACTTGAACCAAGGTGACCTTAAGGAAGACAGGAAAAGGTGAAAAATTACAAAATCGAGTTTTTGGCAAGTTTCAAGACGTGTTTGATACTTGAATATTTAGTTATCGATATTTATATGTATGTAACAATGTACATATGCATAAGATTCACTAAAATCCTTCTGTTGCTCCTGTTTATTTTTTTCTTGTTTTTTGTGTTTTCATATAAGATACTTGAGGTTATAAAAACGCGCGCGCGTGTGTGTATATGTTGCTTACGAGGTCGAACTGACGTGTCGAGCGAACATTCTGAATGCATTATGTGTCGTTCGCAGCGGTTTCCGGTTTGCGAGAAGAAAGGATATGTCGTAAAAATCACGTCCTTTTCGTCTATGATGTTTTTATCCTTGAATATTCAACCTTCTCTCGTTGCATAAACCCTGAGGCTGTGGTGTGTAGCCTGTGTATTTAGGCTGGTGCTTCTGCTGAATCATTTTTCACTGAGAAGAACTCGACAATGCAGCTGCGCATACAGAACACTGATAAATTGTCGTCTCGTTACTTCCAGTATCTCCATTTACATTCAGAGGGGACTTTTTTTTTTTCTTTTGTAATCGTTTTTGCAGTAACAAAGTTTCGATACAACCGCGAGAAACAGATTATTAATAGAGAGAAGAAAATATAAAACCCGAGAGTTCGTTACTAGTGGCGTGTTACATGAGATCATTTTACCTATCCTCGTCTCTTTACCATTTACAGAAAAATGACGCAATGCTGCGTCGTATGCTTTACAATTACACCGCTGATATATCCACAGAGATCGCATCGTTGGTCGGTAAACGTGATTCGTATGCATCGCTGTTTTAACCCTCTTGTTCCCGGAGTAGCCATATGGCTACGTTTCCATTTACTTATGGTCACATTTTTTAAACAGTTTTTGAAATAAAACGTTTAAAATTAATCGTGTTTGCAAATATTTCTTTTTGTAGCTGTTAAACAATTTGAGAGTGAAATAGTCGGTAACATTGCTCTATGCAACAAGATGATTAATGAGTGACTTTATCGATCATATGAAAAATTCATATTCGTTCTATCGTGGAATATTTACGATCGTGGATTATATAGTAATAGGTAGAGATTGTTGGAAAAACGATTAAGATCATCCAGGGTAACCTTGAACATGACACTGCACATGTTTCCTTGAATCGCACGACGTTAGTGAAGAACGGGCTCTTGTTAAGAAATCGAGTTTCATTTATTGCAATATTCATACCAGACAGAAAGTTTCGAATGTTTGACGAAGCGTTGCACATGCTCGGATGAATTATGCGCGTCGAATTATGTAATGCAGAATGTGATAAATGTCCAGTGGCTAATTCATTAAGATACAGATCCAAGGTTCTGCGAGTATCGGTAAAAAAGTGGCACGCGTATCGACTGTGCAACCGTGATGGACTTAACCGAAGGTGGTGCATAACCTATGTTTTCATCAGATATGTATGAGCTTCTTTTAAACGTTCTCAGAAACATTTGTCTTTCTTCAAAATATGCTTAAATGTATTATCTACATTGGTAGAATTAATTTAATGCTCGAACTTGATACTTGTGACGAATTCGTTAACTCGTCGGTGTGTCTGGAAAGTTATTTTATTACTGGTATTTATCTGGCGAGTACAACTATGTATCAAAAGTTTGTCGGAACTCGACAAAATTAATAGGTGAAATGTTAAGTGAATATCAATGGTCACAGTTGCGCTGGTCATGTAGCTTTCTAGGGAATGATAAATAATCTGTATACATACATGACACATTTAGTGTAGGGTAGAATTTACAAGAGCTCGACAAGATTGCTGTGTACAGTATTCATTCATTTCAATCCATATATCCATTCAATCGAAAATAAGAGACGTGTATAGAAATTTCTTCTATCTGGAAAGAGCAATTTTTACCCAGCGAAATTGTACATATCTATTTAGAACAATGCACTCGATCCGAAACAAGGAAAGCAAACGAGTGGTTCTTTATGACCACCCGACTAAAAACCTGTAAGGGTTACGAGAGTTAGACGTATAAAAGAAATACGACACGATTTTTGGATATTACGTAATGCATTCATTATTTTCACCGCGTATACCCTGACACCGTTAGCGCAGATTGTAACATGGTCGTTAAATTATCGCCACTGGAAAATGCACGTGAAATTGCCCGTTTCGAATACTAGATCCGCACCGAAATACTTCCTTGTTTCACTTGTACATTTTTTCATGAGATGAACATTAAAACGTTGCAGTAAATACTACCACCATCTTCCGCGTTACTTTCACAAATTTTCTTGTGCAAAGTGTCATTGATAAAAATTCACTGATATTCTTTTATTCTTGCTTTATCCTAACCTCAAAACGTGTATTGTTGGGAGTACCGTAATCCTAAAAGATTTACGTGTTGTCATTGAAACAGGACACAACCCTCGACAGAGACATTGATATCCTTTGAACTTGAACTTAGGATCCTTTCTCTTGCAATTAGCGATTATGTACCGTGATGCTGACGGTCCCTCGTGCGGAAGTGGTAAGTTCCACGCGTTGTTGGTTTTATTGGGTCTTCCGGTGTGCGTGTCGCGCTCAAGTTACTTGGGTGTTAACATCAGGGTGACTATCTGGTTAACGCGACTTGTTCTGCATTTCGTACGCTCTTTCCCACATTTATAAACGACTCGTAAATGTTTCGCGTGTCCGATGGATTTTTAAGCGATATCGACTTAAACCCGAGCTACTTTTTTCCCCCGAGCACTCGACGCTTTCAGTTTTTTGAAGTTCAGAGCCACCTCTAAAACACGCATACACTTACCACCTGTCGGTAACTAAATATTTAATACCGTTTAAAGTACACACATGTACTCATTAACGAGGTAATACAGTTCAAACGATTAATATTTGTTGAGATGCAAGAGAGGAATTGAATATAATAGAAACATCAAGAATATATTATGGATAAAAGTAGTATAAATGTAAAATTTTTTTGTTCATTTTTCGTGTATATCGTATTACATCTTGAGTGGTGACCATCTTGTAGTATATTGTGACGAAGCTACTCGTTAGAACAGAGCGTCTGAAAGTATGAGAATCGAGTCTTGCATTGTTGACTGTGTAAGAGAATAGGTAAACATTGACCATTGCCTGCGTTTGCCTCTGAAACGTGGGAACGAGCCAAGTGTTTAACTCGAACGATTGTCGGTCAACCAGCGAACAGACGCAGTTCACGCAAAGCTCATAAACGGCGTTTAAAATTAAACGACCAAGCGCATTGTTCAATGTATGTATATAGTCGTGCATTTTGAGTCAGCGAGTGAAAGTGATTGTTTATAAAAAAAAAAAAAAAAGAAAAAGGAATTGAGAAATCGAATTATTTTGTGTTATTACTGCGTTTTTTAAGTTCTTGTTGATATTTACTCCTGAGGGCAAAGTTGTTTTCCCGCCATTTCTTGGTTGCCATAGATACTTGCGAATTGGCTTTACGCGTACTTAACCAATGTAAACATAGGGTATAAAAGAAAACAAAGTATCGATAAATATTTTGTTCATTTCCGATTTGAAGTGACCAAATGCAAGATAATATTGTTCTTTCCTTAAAAAAAGCATAATGTAACTGAATCTTGTACAAGATCTCAACCTTGAGGGTAATAAAGGTTATCTATACCTGTTTTTTTTCCCCTCTCGTGACGGAACAATAATGTTTTTTAGTGGATTCATAGTACACATTGAGTAAAGGTCAACTACGCATGAAATAGTTTAACCAACATTATGACTTTGAAGAAATGACTCAGGCACACATTCTTATCTACCGTCTGTACTGTTTGTAACCGTGTTTATAGCAAGTTTAAAGGTTTTCATAATACAATCGATACGAAATCAATGCGTGTTTGGTTTTCTTCCATTAGTAAGTCGCAAATATTTGAAAAGCTTTTAGTAGAAGGTCAAACATTACGAGAAACATAAATTTGGTAAATTGATAAAATGTATACGTTATCGGTTTGCGGGCGTGAAGCGAGAACTTTATAGTAAGTACACCAAAAAAGTGAGAAATAGAAACGTTATGAAATGATCTTAAGGATACTTCATATTCGATTTAAAAAAAAAACTACGGGAAACATGATTTTTGTTTTTATAACACAACCGATGTCCAAGATTTCATCGACTTTCGAAGAAAGGTGATCAAATCGCAAACGATTGAAATACGTTGTATAAATAGAGGCTGTCGTCATGCGTTTCACAAAAAATATAGTAGTATTAAAGAGGCGTATGGAAATGAGTTGTCTTGATCTCGAAGAGGTGGTTTAACGAACGTTCTTACGAAACCTGTGCTAGTTTACACTAGATTCGTAATACCATCTCTGAATTCTCTGACAGTGAAACTTTTTCTTCTTGAAAAGTAGAAGTAAAATCGAAGTAGAAACACATTTATGGTATATTATCTCGTCGTCACGCTACAATTGCCTCGAGAGCATTGAGGATCAGCCACGGCTTAATTATCAAACACTAACCCTATTCATTGAACTAGAAACAATTCTAATAATTGGAAATCATGTTAAGGGATCACAAAAGCAAAGAGTGTTACAGTTATATCAGAGAACACGCTCCACTTCAGAGTTTCGCGGAATATTATCTGTGAAACTTTCTTCAAAGCGTGTGTGAGAACACTCCAAAATACTCATATTTGTATGAACTTAATACCAACCAAGAAACTTACGAGAATGAGTCAATATACTCGTAGCCCTCTGGCGGTGAACGCAGGAATTCTTACCAAATGATGCAAAGATTCACTTAACAATAAAACTGTTTACATTTCTTGAAAAATTAAGCAAAGAAATAGTATTTATGAATGACTTTCAACAAATAAATGCATTTAATAAAGTTGCAGTCAAAGAAAATCTTACTGAAAATAATTCTTTCATGAATTCACTTGTTGTCCTGTTTTATCACAACACTTGAGCTATACAGTACTATATTTCAAGAGCAATACGTGTCGTTTGGTTTCAGATGAACCACGTTCAAGGTGCAGATCATGGGATGACGTAGGACCGACTAAAATGGAAACTGTCGGCCAAACACATAGACAGCACCACCCCTCCTTGGAGGCAACTAGATCCAACACCTCTACACAGTCGGCTAGAAGCGAAGACTCCTGGTGCTCGGCGTCGGATCATGATCTCTCCTCAGATGACGAGAGTGAGAAGAGTAATATCAGTATTAAGTAAGCATCACAAACGCTGAATAAATATTCCTGATAAGGAAGTACCATTTGTAAACATTTCTTTTTCTTCAATTTAAATATTGGTTATGTTACTTGAAAATATAAGAAAACCATAATTAATAATTTATCTTGTAATAATCCATTTTTAAGAACAGTGATCGATAAATAAGAAAGATCTCTGACCGTTTGGACCAATTGATCAGTATAATTGTTGTTGGTCCAACCATCCAATCGTGATACTCTTCTTCATCTTCCCACAGCAACATTCTCACGAGGTTGTGAATAACTAATCGAAACAATTATTAATTCTTCACAGAAGTAATTGCCAATTGAGGAATACGTTGCACAAGGCAAGGACGCTGTGCGACAAGTGGAGGTCGCAAAATATGCGAGTGAACAATGCTGACCCATTGGATTCGCCCGGAAACCATGGAAGACTGTCGAGATGGTTCAGCATGCGTAGAGGATCAACGCAACAATACGACGTTGACTCCTCTGACACGGTGTCCCTTACCAGTCCTATTAAAACACCCCAAATGCCGCAACTTTGTGAGGTAATTACTTGAAACTTATTACGTTTATTGGAAAGAAATGTCAAAGTAAAGTTGAAAGATTTTCCATTATATTAAAAAAATCGCTATAAATTTGCATACATATAATAATGTAATGTATGCATTTCAGGTTGAAGAGGAGAACAGCGCAATGGTGCAATTTCAGTGCATGCAGCAACGCAGGCAAACTCCACCCACTCTTCCACCGACACCTCCGAATTTAACTCCACAACAGCTGAAACGTCGACACATAGTAGCCGCTATAGTACACTCCGAGAACAGTTACGTGTCCACGTTGCAGAGGCTAGTGAACGTGCGTATATTGACTTCAATTTTCCTTATCAAAAACCGTTTTCGTGATACTGGAGAACATACTTAAAAATATATACCTCTTCCGTTTCAGGATTACAAGAAACCATTAGAAGAATCTTCACCGCCTATATTAAGTCAGGCAAAAATAGCGACATTGTTTCATAGATTGCCTGAGATTCTGCAATGCCATACGTTATTCAGAATTGCATTAGCGGAATGCGTGCGTTCGTGGGACAAGGATGAAAAGTTAGGAGACGTATTTGTAGCAAGTTTCAGCAAAGCTATCGTTCTTGACATTTATAGTGGGTTTATAAATAATTTTTCAGTAGCTATGGATTTGGCTAAACAGGAATCAAAAAGAAAGACTGCACTTGCTGACTTTTTTAAGGTGTGACTCGGTGATACTATTCATTTACAGTTGTACATTATTGAGTATTTTACCATTTTTATCAATGATTATCTTTGCGTTTCAGGTGAAACAAATAAGTGCACATGACAGGTTGTCCTTTTTTGGGTTAATGGTTAAACCCGTACAAAGGTTTCCACAATTTATACTATTCTTACAAGTGAGTATTATACTGATGAATTTATATTCTTTTCGACTTTATACTTTCACTTCTCTTCCGACTCTGCAACGAAATGGTATATAAATGTTCATTAGGACTTACTAAAACACACACCGCAAGGACATCACGATAGGATGTCGTTACAGTTAGCGTTGACTCAGTTAGAGAGTTTAGCGGAAATGTTGAACGAGAGAAAACGCGAGGCGGAACAATTCCAAGCGTTCAAAGAAATGCTACGGCATGTGTCTGGAAAATTGTCTCATCGCCCTCTTTCGTCTTCGTCTAGATATCTCATAAGAGAAGATAATGTCACGCAATTAGTAAGTGTATTAATATAATAGAATGATAAGATTGAAAATATTGTAATATCCTTTATTATTTATATGAAACTATATTCTACAGGAATTTAATCAAAATGGCATGATAACAAAATCCAAGAGAAGAAGGTTATTGTTATTAAATGATCTCGTAGTATGTGTTTCTGTAACCCCAAGATCCGCAGAAGATTTTAGCGGAAGTGAAAGGCTGACTTTGAAGTGGACGTATCCTGTATCGGATATCGAGGTACAAATATATGTAATACATCATTTTGCTATTAAAAGCAATTATAATTGCTTAAAATAAATTTGCCATAACAAAAGATTTAGTGTTGCTAGTAATAACAATACTGACATTATGATACACTACAGATTCAGGATACAAGTACTTCGCCGACGTTAAGCCGCTTACTAACTGCTGGCCTGAATAAAGGTGGTAGCCTAAAATCTGATAAGAGTGGAGAATGTGGACAAGCGGGTGCGGATAATCTGTGCGTAGAAATGAATGATCTGATGCACGATTATGAGGTCATGTCTAGGATAAGTGATTTAGTTGCACAACTAAAGGGTAAATACGAGGTATGGAAGCAATTGAGCTAAATGAATTATCGTTATTCAATTTTATATATGTAAAAATTAAAATATTTTTTATTTATAAAGGGAATGACACTCGAGAAAACTAAACAAATTCTACAATCCATACAACTCTCGATACAACAGAAGGATGAAGATATGGTCTGGGCAGATAGTTGCTGCTTGCAACTGGTAACGAAACAAGGACAAATGTACACGTTCCAAACTGAAAATCCTCTAGTGAAGAAAGATTGGATAACGGAGCTTCGATTAGCGCAGCTAGCTTTAGATCCAAACAATTCGCCATCTTGGGAAGTACCTGAACAAGAACAAAGACCATCCACGAAAATGCCACTGTTCGTTAGCTCGCAACAAGTGTATCATTCGCAACATCAGACAGAAGTAAGACATTGATTTCAAAGATCCAACATTAATAACTAGTCATATACGTGTTTTGATATGTAAAGAGAGACTCAAAACAATCCCCTCTTCAGGTGCGTTGCGGCTGTTACTACACAACACAAAATCCACGTCCTACAAGGCGCTGTGGCAGGAGTCAAAGTTACTTGTGGATATGTACAGGGGACGGTATATCCAGTCATGTGACAGTGTTCGGTCAGTCGACAACAGCCTCTGCGACTTCCTTGAAACAAGCAACAGCCTTCGACCTGGTTGAAACCAGAGTTGCCGCCATAGAATTTGTGAAGGGTGTTTCCTCCGATCCACTATCGTTGGCGAGCGATCTCGTGTGGATGGGCACAGATTCTCGCAAGATCATTATCTACGCCGCCTCAGAACCTGAGAAACAAGAAGAACTGGGCAATTATTCCGTGTCGGGTCCGGTGATACAAATCAAGTATCATTGTGACAACGTTTTCGTCGCCCTAGGAACTGGTTCGCTTCTACTCTTCAAAAGACAAATGGATTGTACTTGGAACCTTCGAGATCCGTTCGTAATACCCTTAGGCTGCGAACCAGTATCCTGTTTGATGCCGATCAACGCGTCTGTCTATGCTGCTTGCGGCAAGAAGGTTTGGGTACTTAACGCAGTGAGTGGTGACATCATTAAGAGCTTTAGCGCGCAGCACGAACACGTTGGCAGTGTGAAACTGATGGCTCATTCTGGAGTTGGTCTCTGGGTTGCTCTAAAAAATTCCAGTACAGTTTGTCTATATCACACTGAAACATTCAAACATCTACAGGATATCAATATAGCATCCAATGTGCTGAGAGTGACCAGGACGAATAACGCCTCGAATTCTTGCGGCGACAACTTGAACAACAATCACTCTACCGTTACGGTAACAGCACTTTTAGCGTGCAAGGGCCTTCTATGGGTTGGCACTAACGTGGGCATCAGTTTAACGATTCCTCTGCCACGATTAGAAGGAGTACCTATCATAAGCGGTCGCGTGAACATCTCGTATCACGCGCATTTCGGTCCTATCACTTTTCTGCTCGCCATTCAGAACCAAAAGAACACGATAAACTGCACGACCGACGAAATTGCAGATGAGGAAAACGTGCAGCTTAGGTCGAAGGAGTCGGAGAACAATAGAAACAGAGATAGAGCTAGTTTGGATTCCTCTATGTCAAACAGTATCGTGAAATTAAAGCAACAATTGGCGGGCAGTCCGGTGATGCTGAGACGAAAACGTAGCAAGGAGTACGAGTACAGAGGCTCGAAGACGCTTCCAAGAGGACTCGGCTCTGGTGGTGGATTTTTGTCGAGCTCGATGTCCGGATCGCAGAGCTCCGGAGAGAATTGCGACGTTTATGGACTGTATGGGGAGCTGATGTACGTGAAGGATTACGAGAACGAGAACAGCTCTGGTATCGATCTGATTTATGAACCATTAAGAAGAAGCGATCCAGAACTGGCAGCCATACCAAATAAAGTTAGTACTTTAGATCGTAGACTGAAGATGAAAATCACCAGGCCCAGGTCGTTGGATCTATCGAATTGGTCGGTTGACTCTCACGCCAGTTCTCTGTACACGTCTTCCGGATCTGAGGAAAATCTCTCGCTAAAAACTGGCAAATTGTCTCGAAATAGTAGTACAGCTAGTCGAAATGGTCCCTACGAGACAGCCAATCCGAACAGTAGTATAGGGCAGTCGGTACCAGAAACGATACCTCCGCCTAATAATTTGAAGTCAAGCGGTAAAAAGATAAACAAGACGTTGCAGCAAGTAGAACAGCCTAAACGAACGGTTCTAACACTGATGGGTGGCCGAGGTTATATCAATTGGAGACAACTGAATACGCAATCGGTCACCGACAAAGGCTCGAAATCCGGTTACACTTTTAAAGATCCCAACAGCAACGATGCCCACATCGTGCTGTGGGAAATGAAATTATGATACTCAGTTACGCTAGACCTATCATTTACGCCTACTACTACGTCAGTATGGGTAGGAGCGTTATAAAATGCTATTCAATGGCCGATTGCGAGCTCCGTAATATCGGCGAATAGGACCAAAAAAAAAACTATTATCGAACTGATACTGTCGTTTAAGTAATAAGGATACACGATAAGGATTCGTTAATTAATTAGCTCGATCTTTTTAAGTTAGTCGCGGCGAGTGTGTTGTTCGATGAAAATGTTTTCTGAAGCTATGTTCGAAACGAGGTTCATTAACGTTCTCGAATATCCTTATCGTCTGCAGTGCAAAGATCTAGTTTTTTCGTGTAGCTCTCTAAAAGAAAAAAGCAAAAACAGAATTCTTGTATTTTATTACATACGCTTCCAACCTGTAGCGCGATAAAGATCTTATATTTTTGTTGTAGGCTGAGTTTGTCGTGTACACTCGTATAAATTGATTTAATCTTACTCCGAATAAGTTTTTGTTTTGTGAAAAGGGGCGGGGGTAAATTTAGTGCAGTAAGAATAGAAAACATTACGTGAATATTTATAATTATAAACAATAAAAGAAAAATGTTAATGACATTGTTTCGATTTTAGGAAATACTAATGTACGAGTGTACGCGTTGCTGGAAGAAAGAATCTTTGAATGTGTATTTTAATAAATATTGTTATTTCTGTAGTTACATATAAAAACAATTTGAAGCAGTGGTATTCTTATAGAAATAATGTTATAAAAATTAAGAAATTTGACGTTATTCGCGAGTTATTTTGAATCGAGTTTTTCAATATGGCTGAACAGATTGAACATGACAGCGAACACCACTGATTTGAAGTTCGAGTTTTCGAGTTTCTTTCGTTACTCGGGTGGCACTCATGTGATGTACACATGAATTTGTAAGATATATGAATATAAAACGTTATCTTACGCTTTATACGCAGAACGTTTCGCGTCGTGGGGAAAGACTATGGAATTTTTAAGTGTTTCTCGCGTTTTCATTTTGAATCTTGTTATAATAAAAATTTGAAAGACCCCCATTTTTGTAAGCGGGTCGAAAATGAAGAGCACAGAGCAGCGCCTGTGATTTATTCTTTTGATGCGTTAAATGTCGCCTAACATATACTAAAAGAATCAATGACAATGTAAAATATAATTTTTTTAATTTTTTCCTTGCATCGATACAATAGAATGCTACAAAAGAATGTATACAATAAAATTTAAACGCTTATACAAATAAGTTCATTGCACACGTTTAGTTTTTGCGACGAATAAAATAAAGGTGAAGATAAAAATTTGCAGTTTAGTTTTGATGTTTTAGAAAAGAAAAATATCTGGTATTGCTATTGTACTTCACCGGACGATAAGTGATGATCGTCCGGTATATTTGATAGCATTTTTTGAGGGTGCGTAAGATATTTTATATCTTTTATAAACATTAGCAAGTTGAACATTTTTGACATATATATTTTACTGCCAAACGCGATAGAAGTTTCTCAGAGGAAGAGTAAGATCAGTGAGAGAAAGGATTTGCGAGTGAAAAAGGGTCTAATGATCTACGACGCATGTTTTCCGTTCTCTGCATTATGTGATAGATCGACCGGGAGAAAGGGGTTAGAAATGGAAAAAAATTTATATCAGTTACCCAGTGAGAGAAGTATATCGTAGTTTTGCCGCAAATGCGCTGTTAAGTTTTTCACTATCGGCATGGACGAACGAGTCTGCGTGTACATACATATTTTCCGAAGAAATTAATTTTTATATCGAAAAATGAATCCTGGATAGATTTATATTTTGTACACTACTTTTTTTTGTTTAGATTTATATAAATATATACATATGTAATCTTATTTTGTATTTATACGAATGATACCATACGTGGAATTTATTCAGCAATACTTTGTTACACACGTACACGCACACATTATACACACATACATGCGCGCACACATATTTATTACTTAACAGTCGTAGCGTTGTATCATTGTTATGTATGAATCTGAAAAATTTTGTTACGTTAGCGTTCGAAAAGGCTATTCGATTCAATACTTTTCACTATTTGTATTGCTATATTGCTGAATATTATAATTATTTAAAAACGAATATAAAATTGTCTTATTCCCTTCACATTTTTTCTTTTGTTTAAATATCCTGTGGTATAGTGTGTAGGATGTATCTGAAATAAAGCTATGCATAATCTTGGTTTCCAGGTATATAGTTTATTCTTTGTACAATATTACGATATGTTTACATTATATGGCGCATAAATAATTCTTGCATATAATTCTACTGATATCGTTTTGAATATTTTTCGACAGGGAAAATGAATTTACACTTTTTTCTTTGTTCTGATGATAACATCTTTCATGATACTCTACGATATGCATAGATAAATACGATATGTATACTATACAATATGAAATGTCGTTAAGTATTACGTTTCGCTACTTTGTCGGTTTAATTTACGTGAATTTGTCACGTACAGAGAATTTTCTACTATATAATTCTGTTATTGTAAATAATTCATTAAAAGTTTTCTTCTAACATCTTTAAAATATAACGTATTACTACAATGTACAAATTAGAAAGTAACCATCGTTGAAACAGTTCTCTGGAAACAAAAATTTCTCTATCGTGTCTCTTTAACGCGAACTTCATGTCGAGAAGCAACATTTATAGCATTACTAATTTCTTATTTCATTTTGTTCTTTTTCCTATTTAATTCAAACACTAAGTAACTATACACGACAGAGAATCTGTGTTTGTTGAGACTGTATATATGTAACAAACCACTCAACATTTTTTTACTGGTATGGTGCTCTATTAATTCTACATTATATCTATAGTCATTTAATTACAATCATCTCGTCTGTTTCTGCTTACATATATATCGTGATAGTAGAGCAGAAAATTAACTGTTATCTACAACTGCAATTCTAATACAGAAATACAAGCTTATAACAAGTACTTAATAGTTCGGTTTAGCGGAACTTCTTCTGAATTAAAAATGATGCCCTCTTGACTGCAAGTTCGAAATTTGTTATTCGCGAAAAATCAAATTTCAAACGTGAATTTTATTACAGAATTTCGAGAATTGTAACTTTGCAGCTTGATATTTTCGAATTTTTAATGACACAATACTTTGAGACACTTTTTATTTTCTGGTTTCTTTAAAAATACTAAAGTACAAAGTACAGCAGGAAGTTGTGCACAAGCGGAATACAAGTCTAACCATATTCAGATTGTGATAACTTGAAATATTTCATTTGTTTATGCATATACATATTTCTGTATACGTTATAAACCTCTTAATTAACATATCGTAATTTGTTCGTTTCCATCTTCAACATATTTCAGTAAGACTTAATCTTACACGGTACTCTATTTCATTAAAAGTATATCAAAATCGAAAGGCGCAAATCGACAGTGTTTGGTAAAGAATCAAACGCACTGTAACCCCTTAACATTAAAAATACGAATTCCTTTCCCCTCGTAGAAAGCATGATTGATCTGCCGCGTTATACGAAGTGCATGTATGGGTTTCTGTGTCCGTTTTAGACTTTTTCTTTAGATTATCGCAATAACTGGAAGTGTATCATTCTATTACATGTATTTATAAAATACCTATATATACATATACGTACACGTATGTAATGCAGATAACATAATAGATAATACCTGCCCGAGCTGCCTCTATTCCATCGCACACTTAAATATTCGGTGCTGTGTTCAAACATAAATGTATTCACCATGTGGAAAAGTTATTTCTCTCCTTACAGACAATGGGTAAAAATCATAAACGTTCATTCGATTCAAATTAACAAAAAAAAATTACGGTTACCAATTAAGAGTCACTATGAAATACATAATACTGCTAGAAATGGTATTTTCATCCAGTTATGTTCAATGAATTTTCAATATTACTTCTCTTGTGTAATGTAACATTGAAAATATTATTGCAAACTTTATAATGCATACATATGTCAGCTCTCACATTGCATACATGTCTTGGTAAATGTTGATAATTTAGTATATGATTACCCTCAATATGATGATACATAGTAATCTTTCTTTCAGTGAAATAAAATTAAAACATACTGAAAATACTGAAACATTTACACAAACTATCACAAGAATTCGTACCAGCTTTGTAAATAGTTCAATTTATACAATTGTTTTGAACATTCCTTTAAATTACATGTTAATGAGGGACAGATAT